CTCAGGTGGGACACCAACAAGGAGGCCACCTGATCACCATAGAGATGATGATAGACTCGAGTCAAAAAAACCATACGCGAAGACTCGAGGAGAAGATCGAACCAGCTACGTGACGTACCGGCCCGATCTGCTGAAAGAGGCGGAGCCGCGGGAAAACCCTCGGGTTCGGACACCGAGCAACCAGCGCCTGAAACCAAGGCTGGGCCGGCCACCAAGGGGCCAGAAGGACAACTCTCCCCCGGTAAGTCTCTAAGCGAGTCAGGACCTGGAGCAACAGCCGAACTGGGGGAAAGAGGTACAGGAACCCCCACCTCGACCAGTCGAGCCGAAAGGCATCGACCCCGACGGCCTCGCAATCGGGGAAGGGCGCCGCATAAACGGGAAGACGCCGCGACCACGCCGACGCGAAGAGGTCCACCTCGGGGCGCCCGAACGTCTGGCAAAGCCAACGGAAGGACTCGTCGTCGACCGTCCACTCCGTGGAGAGGGGAACGAAGCGAGACAGGGCGTTGGCCAAGACGTTGGACACGCCCCGTACGTGAACCGCCAGGAGAGCCAAACCCCGAGAACTCAGCAGACGAGTCACCCGAAGCGACCAACCCCAAAGAGACAAGGACCGCATCGAACCCCCGCGGTTCAGGCAATGAACCACCGGAGAGCAGTCCGAATGGAGCCGAATCGTCGATCCGCGGGCCACCCGAATCCTCCCCAGAGCAAACCACACTGCTGCGAACTCCCGCACCGTACTGTGAGCTCGACGGAAGGACGGATCCCAATGCCCCTGGCCGGCCTGGTGAGCACTGGTCACAAAACCCCAGCCGAGAGACGACGCATCCGTGTACACATCGAGCGAGGGCTCGGGTAGGCGCCAAGGCACTGAACCCCGAAAAACCCGAAGAGGAAGCCGGTGACGCAGCAACCGACGCAAGTCCTCCGGGGGTCGAACTCTGCGATCGCGAGAGAGGCGGAAGGGGGAACCCCGAAGGAACCAGAACAGCCGTCGAAGCCAAACCCGACCCGGCGGGTAGACCACCATCGCAAAGTTCAGGCTCCCGCACAGCCCCTCGAGCAACCGCCGGGTGACCCGAGGGCCCTCCAGAAACAGACGAAGGCGGGACCGCAGCCGCAGGAGAGACTCCGGAGGGAGAGACAAGGAGGCGGTCCGAGAGTCCCACACGAGACCCAGCCAAGTCCGAACCTGAGAGGGAACCAGATGGGACTTCCTCCAGTTCACCAAGAACCCGAACCCGGCGAGCTGGGAAAGAACCAAATCCCTGGCTAGCAAGCAAGCTGACTGGCTGGGAGCCCAAACCAGCCAGTCGTCGAGGTAGGCCAACACCCGAACACCTAGGAGACGCAAACGAGCCACCACAACCCGTGTAAGGCGTGTGAACACGCGAGGTGCCAGGTTCAACCCGAACGGGAGACAACGAAAGCGGTAACTCAGACGCCCCACTACAAAACCGAGCCAGTCCCTGAACCGCGGATGAATCGGGACATACCAATAAGCGTCCCGGAGGTCCAGGGACACCATCCAAGCACCCGGCTCCAAGAGGAGCCGAACCTGAGACAGCGTAGTCATCCGAAAGGAGGGGCAATGAACCCAGGGGTTCAGACGGGACAAGTCCAGAATGAACCGCAGGTCCGCGCAGTCCCGTTTCGGAACCGGAAACAGACGGGAAACCCATCTGAGGGACGACGTCGTTTCGACGACGCCCAAGCGTACCCACTCCAAGACTACTCGACAGAGCGCAGGGGAAGAAGCCTGCCCCGCCAGCCCCGACCCCCCAAAGGGGGGAGGGGCCACCCAACGCCACCGCAGGCCGCGAGACACGACCCGAAAGGCCCACGAATCGTGGGACCAGGCGCGGGCGAACAGCGCAAGCCGCCCCCCCATCGCCCCGTCAAAGGGGCAAACCGCGAAAGGGCCGGCGACCCTTACGAGACCCAGAACCCCGCACAGCGCGAACACCGCGCCGACCAGACGAGGGAGGGTCCGCAGGAGGAGCCAACCCCAAACCTGACACCAGAGGCCTACCACGACGAGAGGAACCCCGAGCCCTGGCACGACCTTTCCGGGAAGACCCACCCCGGGACCCCCGGAAAACCAACAAGTCCGACATCGGACGACAAGCCGCCGACGCAGCCTGAATAAACTGCGCCACGGCCGACTCCCCAAACAGGAGAGGACAAAAAGGTGAAGAACGCCTAAGAGCCAGAGCCCAAGCAGATTCCACGGAGGAACCCAGCACCGCCTGCCGACACGCGAGACGGGAAGCATAGAACAGGGAAACCGCATCCCGCAAAATCGGCGTGAACAGCTTCAACAAGGCAGCCGACGAACGCGCAGCCGAGGACAAAGTGCCGGACCCTGGGACGGACCCAAGCGTCCCCACATCCTCCACGAGCCAATCTGAAGACAGCTCCAGGAGGGAAAAGAACCGCAAGGCCGAACACAAAAGGCCCCGAGCGCGCAAGTCCTCCGCCACGAGCGCCGCCGAAAGGGAGGGAACCTGCACATGGAGCTGAATAACGCCCACATCGCGGGGAAGGGCAGGGGCAAACAAGCACTCATTCAGGTACTCAAGTTCACCCCCCAGGAAAACCTGAAGCACCGTGGAAGCTTCCCGCCACTCCAGCGTGCGGGAACGACAGAAGGAATGCCAGGAATCCAGACCAAACAAGGGGCAGTCTGCTAGCCAGGATGACTCCGGAACCTCGTAACGGAGCCAGAAAGGGAACGAAGTCCCAAACCTGAACGTGGACGGATCCATTTCCGAGGCATAATCCGGGTCACGCAGGAGGTAAGCTGCAAAGGCCGCTCGCACCACACCAGGTTGGATGCGATAAGCCGAAAACCTCCGGAAGGACGGAACCGACGTACCCGGGGGAACACGGAACCGTACCCGGGGAGGGGCCGACACCAAATCCAACTCGTACGCAGAGGGGGGGAAAGAAAACCCCACTCCTTGTAACAATAAGCCCCGCTCAGTGGGAAGAAAAACCCAGGCGGGGTCCAGCGGGGCCCAAGGCCCCCAAGTCAGCCCCTCCCCAGCCTCGAGGTCCGTCACCACAGGACCCGAGGCCGAGTCCTCTCCCCAAGCCCCGACCCCACAAGACAAGGACGGAGCAGCCGGAAAAGCTGGAGGAAGGGGGGCCCACTGGTCAGACCCTGAAGCTTCGGCCGGGAGACAAGACTCGAATGCCTCTGCCGCCCCCCCGGAAGGGGCAACCCCCGAAGCTGCCCGAGTCTCGAGATCAAATAACCCCTGCTCCGACCCCGAAACCCTCAGACGCTTCGGGGCCGGAAGCAGAACGGGGGACCAGAACGAACAGAAGGGGAAGGACGAGGAGGTGCGGACTGAACCAGGATCGAAGCGACCCCCACCCCCAAGTCCGGGTCTCGAAAAGCAAAGCGGGGCAGCCCCGGGGCATCCGGGGAAGCAACCAACCGAGCGCGTTGCAACAGACGAAACCTAGACTGCAACGCACGTGCCGCCTGTACCCGAATAGAATCATCAGAGGATTGGGTAAATTGAGTCACAAGCAAGCAGCAACACTCACAGGACTCAGGGTCGAAAGTATCACCGACCCAACAGGCAGCGTGGCAGAGGCAAAAACAATGAGGGTCACCCTGAGACAAGGGGACCGAGCAACCCTCAAACTCGCACACAGCGAGTGGGGACTCCGGGGTCACATCCATCGGACCCACGCGCCCCCTAGGGGATTCCCAGGGTCCTGAGCGTTTACTTTAAGAGGACTCGCGCTCAGGTAGTCCCAGGCAGGGTGCTGCAAACCGGCGCCCAAAACTACCAAGCAAACTTCTAAAGCTGAACCCCAGGGACGTGTACACTCACGGGGACCTAGCAGGGGGCGCCACCGAGGAGAACAGTGGAAGGGCAAAAACAAACTGAATAAAATGACAGAACCCCCCACCAGGCAAAAACAAAAAGAAAAACAAAACCCCGCAAGAGGACAGCGAACCCCAAGGAACAGAGCCGGCCGCGATGTCGGGAAGTACAAGCTGAGCAGCACCCTGCGCCCCTACCAGTGCAAACTGCCTCTTACCTGCCGGTAACAAGGGAGAACAGAACACCCAAGAGCCCAACAGGCGGCCGAAAAACCGAAAGGTAAAACGGACCAGCAGAGGCAGACCCCGAGGAGCCTGTGGAAGGTGGCCCCAAGCCCCAAGGGCAGTACTTACAGGGCACCTAGGGAAGGCAGCCCTAGGCGCATGCTGCCCGAGTACTGAAGATAACTCCTGGCTCTCGCACCCACAAAACTAACACCACACTCAAAGCACAGTGCAGTAGCGACACCGGAGCCAGAGCACACGACCATCGCCTATAGCATCAGCCTCAAGAACTGAGGTGTGGGTAGCCGGCGCGGGGGGTCTGGGGCTCCCCCTTCCCCCTCCCGGGGAGGGGGGAGCTGCGCAGACAGCGGCGCGGCAGTGTGTGACGTCACACTAATTTGCTTGTTTTCGGTTGGGGAGTTCTATCCACTAGTTCGGTATTAGGTAGCAATTTTAACCAGAATAGGGGTTTGTTTTGGGGCGCTTACCTTTCTGGGTGCCTGTTCCGGTCGATGCCAGACATAGAATGCTTCCAACTACACGGGGGCTTCTATAGGCCATTGCTCCCCTTGCCTCTCTGAGGGGGCCCGGTTCTGGCCGTGGTCCCCGGTAGGCCTAAGAACTCCATACACATGACTGATGCCAAAGTCTGACATTAGCATATCAGCCTGGGATAGCTCCGGGGAGCCGACGGGGCTCCCCCAGAAAACTTGCTCGTATGTCAATTTTGGAGATTCCTGTTAAAAAATTGACTAATTTCAAAAGTGTGGTTAACTAGCAAGGGGCGAGCTCCATATGATTAAGACTATCAAGCGGAGACACTAAAATTAATCCCCCATTCATCACTTCCAGCTACTACATGTTCTTTACTATAGTGCTCGATGCCATTTATCATATTTCAAGGCGTGACATTTTCATACAACAATAAAATAAAAATGTTTATTTTCTTCGCTGTGTCACCACCCCCTTCACCTGGAGGGTGATCAACTTAACACTGCTTCCATGGATACAAACCATCATTCACCCATCTGAAATTTTTTGAACTTATTTTGTTAAGATACGCAGAAACAGAAAATAAACGTATACACTTGAGAATAAAGAGAATACAGACACAGGGTCAGGTAAATACATAAGAGTGATGTACTGTACTGAGAGAGCCATACAGGATTACTCAGTGTACAGTTAACTATCTCCACTATGAGAGCCTCTCACACATAATAAACAACTTAGACTCCTAACACTACGCTAAACTGGATTACATTCAACAACACTTCAACACTCAAGACACTATTGGCAATACTGTATATATATATATCAATAGCCAGAGATATGCCAACATTGCAACAAAGAATTGTCTTTATTACAAAGCTCCATTTACAAATTATGTCTTTTTAAAGTAAATCATAAAATTTAAAAAAATTTACATAAGGAACTATGTACTATGAATAATAAAAATAAAAATATACAAAAAATATTTATTTAGTTTATAAACAAGTATTAAATACTTTATTTCTGTAAGATACGGCATTATGATGAAGACAAGATAATTACAGGGTCAGCAATAACTTATTAATGTTGTAATGTGCATGACAGGGAGCTCCAGGGTCAGCAATAACTTATTAATGTTGTAATGTGCATGACAGGGAGCTCCAGGGTCAGCAATAACTTATTAATGTTGTAATGTGCATGACAGGGAGCTCCAGGGTCAGCAATAACTTATTAATGTTGTAATGTGCATGACAGGGAGCTCCAGGGTCAGCAATAACTTATTAATGTTGTAATGTGCATGACAGGGAGCTCCAGGGTCAGCAATAACTTATTAATGTTGTAATGTGCATGACAGGGAGCTCCAGGGTCAGCAATAACTTATTAATGTTGTAATGTGCATGACAGGGAGCTCCAGGGTCAGCAATAACTTATTAATGTTGTAATGTGCATGACAGGGAGCTCCAGGGTCAGCAATAACTTATTAATGTTGTAATGTGCATGACAGGGAGCTCCAGGGTCAGCAATAACTTATTAATGTTGTAATGTGCATGACAGGGAGCTCCAGGGTCAGCAATAACTTATTAATGTTGTATTGTGCATGACAGGGAGCTCAACATTAAATAGCTGAAAAATTGATCACTTGTAGATATATAAACACATTTAATTTAATGAACTGATCATTTTATTTTGAATTTGAACCAAAACTAACTTAGCAAACAAACCTAACCTAAATATGCTATTCCTCAATAATGCCTAACATAGCCATAACTAGGCTAAGTTAGTAATTCATGTAGTCAACATTATTAGTAAGTGTAAACTAATTTTTGACAAAATAATTGAAAATGTACAAAATATGCTGTAGCAGTTAGGGAAAATGTTGAATGGTCACTCGATCAAGTGATGTGGTTATAGCTATCACAGATAAAAAAGTGGGTAAAATAACCCCAGTATTAATTTTAGCAACAAATTCAAATGCTCTCTGTCATCGTGCAGCCCTCCATCTTCTGAAGTATTAAGTAAACCAGCCTCTTAAAGCATTAACTATAAACGTGGGACAAAAACTTCAGTTCTCACATTAATATTGGCCAACCTGTAGAGGCCTTAACTGGTCAAAGACTATGTCTTAGTACACCTCTGACCAATGTAACAAGATCAAACAAATTTGACATCCATTAACATACAGTTCTCCGAACCCCATATGGTCATAAGGTTAAGGAATATACTAACATCCATTAACATACAGTTCTCCAAGTCCCATATGGTTATGGAATATGCTAACATCCATTAACATACAGTTCTCCAAGTTCCATATTGTCATATGGTTATGGAATATGCTAACTCATTACAATTACGCTTAAAGCATCTGTGATTAACATGGTATATATATATATATATAGGGTACACAATTTATTAAATAGTCAAAAATAAGTATAAGAGCAGCAAATTACTTTCTGCAATGTAGGAAAGTAAAAATACCAACTTCAAACATGAACAAATAAAACTTTGAAAGGTAAATGTCACAAGATATTGCCCTTCTCATAACTGTACAAAACCCTGTGATATATCTGGTACCTTAAGAATGAATTGTAATTTCATACCGCTCTTTTCCAAACTGTACAATATTGTTATAGTGTACAACAGTTCAGCAGCTGCCAAGGTTTATCACCAATGAGTACCCAAGAGATTTTGATCAGGCAGAGACGAATGCAAAATATTGTGACATTGTTAATGAAATGTGCATAAAACTCTGCTAGAGCTACAGTTGGACATCAGACCACCTATGGTCCGTCCAGGCCGTGGTGATAGCATAGTGACTGAACAGCTGCTGAAGGAGCTCCTGTTCATCCAGCAGCTCAATCCCAGTTACTCTGGCAATTTCTTCAGGTGGCAATCGAGCCCATATTCCCAACATGTCGCAGGAGTCTGCCCCAGCCCAGCCGGCATCCAGAAATCTGGCGTAGAGTAGCATATAGTAGGATGTATGTTGCTATAAGAGGGGTTCAGTATTTAATTTCAGCTGTGATATTTAATGTCAACACCTGATGATATATACAAGTGAAGCAGACATGCAATATACAGTAGATCTCATTTGCAACATGTCAAACAGTTATGAAATTATTGAAAACAACAGTGAAGACTAGACAAAAAACTATTTTTTAACAAAAATCTAAGACAATGTAAAATTATTATTGAGAGTGCAAGACAAATGTCGATAACAGAGATAGATATCATTTGGCTGCCTGAAGGCATTTAACAAATATTTTAATTTTGGACACTCATTATCACAAAATTATTTATATCTTTCCAGTGTTCTGACATAAATTTTTGTGTTACATCTTTCATTTAGGTATCAAATTATTCGCAATGTAAAGGCGCACATTTTAAAACTAACCCCATAATAATAGCACAATAAATGGAATTTTATACAAATATTTTTTTATAGGAGGCACATCATGTCCGATGCTCGGACTCGAGAGAAAAAATTGAACGCAAGTTGCGTTCGACGAGTGCTATAGTGTTAAAAATGAAATCTCAAGTCTTTTATGCTGGCATGTCTCATGACATCATGAAATACAAAATATATACAAGTACAGTATTGTACAATTGCTCAATGAAGTCACAATAATGTGATACATATAAAAAGAATATGAAACATCTTCAGAATTACATTATGAAAGAAGGGCAAATTGAAAAAGATCGTTACCAACCGTTTCCTCTGTGTCTCTGTGTTCTGACACGCCTCTGCACCGGTTAGGTCACATCCTCGTAAACGCAGATTATGCAGCATCACTTCACCAAATCTATCACCTAAATTTACCTGAAAAAGTAAGTAAAAAATAATTATAATATCTCTCTCACACACACACACACACACACTTTATCAGGGTTGATAAAGACAGGCTATTTAACACAAGAGGAACACGCACTAGGGGACACAGGTGAAAACTGAGTGCCCAAATGAGCCAGAGAGATATTAGAAAGAACTTTTTTAGTGTCAGAGTGGTTGACAAATGGAATGCAATAGGAAGTGATGTGGTGGAGGCTGACTCCATACACAGTTTCAAGTGTAGATATGATAGAGCCCAGTAGGCTCAGGAACCTGTACACCAGAATGGTGTACAGGTTCGAAACGGTACAGTACGGAATGGAGAAATGTCACAAGTGGAGTACCACAGGGCTCAGTTCTTGCACCAGTGATGTTTATTGTGTACATAAATGATCTACCAGTTGGTATACAGAATTATATGAACATGTTTGCTGATGATGCTAAGATAATAGGAAGGATAAGAAATTTAGATGATTGTCATGCCCTTCAAGAAGACCTGGACAAAATAAGTATATGGAGCACCACCTGGCAAATGGAATTTAATGTTAATAAATGTCATGTGATGGAATGTGGAACAGGAGAACATAGACCTCATACAACCTATATATTATGTGAGAAATCTTTAAAGAATTCTGATAAAGAAAGAGATCTAGGGGTGGTTCTAGATAGAAAACTATCACCTGAGGACCACATAAAGAATATTGTGCAAGGAGCCTATGCGATGCTTTCTAACTTCAGAATTGCATTTAAATACATGGATGGCGATATACTAAAGAAATTGTTCATGACTTTTGTTAGGCCAAAGCTAGAATATGCAGTTGTTGTGTGGTGCCCATATCTTAAGAAGCACATCAACAAACTGGAAAAGGTGCAAAGACATGCTACGAAGTGGCTCCCAGAACTGAAGGACAAGAGCTACGAGGAGAGGTTGGAAGCATTAAACATGCCAAAACTAGAAGACAGAAGAAAAAGAGGTGATATGATCACTACAAACAAAATAGTAACAGGAATTGATAAAATCGACAGGGAAGATTTCCTGAGACCTGGCACTTCAAGAACAAGAGGTCATAGATTTAAACTAGCTAAACACAGATGCCGAAGAAATATAAGAAAATTCACCTTCGCAAATAGAGTGGTAGACGGTTGGAACAAGTTAAGTGAGAAGGTGGTGGAGGCCAAGACCGTCAGTAGTTTCAAAGCATTATATGACAAAGAGTGCTGGGAAGACGGGACACCACGAGCGTAGCTCTCATCCTGTAACTACACTTAGGTAATTACTTAGGTAATTACCAGTTGATTGACGGTTGAGAGGCGGGACGAAAGAGCCAGAGCTCAACCCCTGCAAGCACAACTAGGGGAGTACCAGGAGGCAGGAGTCACATTGCAGCAGGCTTCAGGAATATCAAAATTGAGAACATTATATTGTAACCAACTGCTGAGTATTGGAAACAGGTTGAGGGCTGTAAGTGGTGTCCCAGCATGCATGAAGGTATAAGGAAGTTGAAAAGTAAATAAGATACAAGAAATAAGTGTGAGTGAGTGAAAATTCTGTGTTGGAAAAGTTTATATTCCAAAACAAAAGAATGCCAATAACAAAGATGGCTGCCACCACAAGGGCGGTAAACACACCAACAGATGATTGTTTCAAAGGATTCTCACCACAAGATATAAGGAAAGGAGGTTTTGTTTGCATGTTAGAGATTATTGAGGATATGCTGAAGAAGTATGAAGAAAAAGTACTTGAATTAGAACAAGAAGATGGAGCTCCCAGGAGCTAGTCTCACACTTTAAAATGAAGTATTCTTCAGTAAGTTAAGAATATTACTGCCGTAATAGACAAGGTAAAGAGACAGGAAGAACAAATCAAGGAACTAGTAAAAGATAATGAGGCATGGAAAGTGAAGAGTGGTGAATTTGAAGAAATAAACAAGTAGATAGACTCATATGATGAACAACTCCAAGGGAGCCTGAGGGCTAACATGGAATTAGGCAAGGAGATGCAACGAGAAATTTCATTGACAACTCACATAGAGGAGGTTAATAAAGAACTAGAAAAGTATAAAGAAGAAATAAAGAGAGACGTATGCCCAAGTTGTAAAAGAGAGACGATTAAAGGAAGTGTGTTTGGAAGTCAAAACCAGAAATGACAAACAAGAAGTATAAATTAGACAAGCAATTAGGAAAGAACTGGTTACCAATGGTAAATTAGTACAAAACACTGCAGATAGAACTAAGTCCATAATAATTTTTGGGTGTTTAGAAAAGGAAATATCATTTAGGGTGGACAATGCAGCAGAAGAGATGAAAATCATTGAGAAAATAAAAGGTTTAGGAGAAGGCCTCACATCAAAGGAAAATGTCAGTGATTTTAGGATAGGAAAATATGAGAAAACAAGAATCACCCCTTAAGAGTGACATTTAATGGAGTGAAACAAATAACAGAAGTGCTTAGAAAATGAAAAGAGTGATGAGGATGGGAAACTTTGGTCAATAAGACAAGACCTATCAAAGAAAAACAGAGAGAAGCTAAAACTAAACCTTAATGAAACAAAACATCTAAATGGGAATACAAACGAAGATTTTTTTTTTATACAAAGTGTTAAGAGACTGGAAAGCTAGTGAAATGGTACATGAAAACAAAGCAACAAAATCATTTGAGGAAGGGGGAGTAAATGACAAAGGGAAAATGCTCCTGAAAATTGTATATACAGTACTGTACTAGTACTGTACTGTACCTGTACATGTACCAACACAGATGAAGCGAGATAAAAAAAAAATACTGGAGCTAAAAGATATAATTTAGCTTGAGGTCCCAGATATTTTCGCACTAACAGAGACAAAACTTGAATAAAGTATTTTAAATGAGGTCGTATTTCCAAGGTGCTACTCAGTTTAGAGACGTGACGAGAAACTAGGAAGGGGGGAGCAGGAGTGGCTGTGTTGGTGAAAAAACACCTGAAGGAAAGAGAGTTATTAAAAAAACAGCCTTGAATGTAATGAAACACCATTTTCTGGACGAGCCCTGGAGGCTCCCTGGAGCTATCGGACTGATATTCGCTATATTAGTCTGGGGGCATCAGTCAATGGAGTCCTGCCTACTGGGGACAACGAGCCAGAACCTGGCCCCCTTAGAGAGGCACAGGAAGCAATGGCCTATGAAAACTACCGTGCGTTTGGGGGCATTCCATGTCTGCCATTGACCTGGGTTAGGTACCCTGAAAGATAGAAATACCAAAACAGACCCCACTTGGTAAGAAATTGCAACTGAAGACCGAACAGAGAGGAAGAACTCCCCCAAACCTAAACCAGCAAACAAGCAAACGTCATACACCGCCACCACACCGCTTGTCCGCATAGCTCCCCCCCCAAAATCCCTGCGCCCAAATATTAGCCCAAGACATGTTCCCGAACATGTCAACCAAAGCAGCAAACTTACGAATGTCATGGGCACAAGGATAGACTGCAGGCTGGGTAGAATTTATAACTTGTGGACGACCTTGGCGACCCAAGCCCTGAAACAGGGAATGAGGGAAAACCTGATCAACCCAAAGAGCATCTTTAGCCGAGAATGTAGAGGCGACAGTATTGGGCACCAAATGATGGTCCTAAAAAGCCAAAAAAGGAAGGACAAAACAACCTGATCGCAAATAGAAGTGAACATATGAAAAGAGAGAAAATGGTCAAAAAGACAGGAAACTTCATACTGTCAGCACGACGAAGCTTGCAGGTGGGACACCATCAATGAAGCCATCTGATCTCCATATAAGTGGCGATACGCCCACACCAAAGTACCAGACAGGAAGAGCCAAGGAGTAGACCCGGCTGGTCTGATCTGTTGAAAGAGAGAGAGCCCCAGAAAAATGTCCCGGGTTTAGACACCGAGCATGCAGTGCAAGGCACTGCTTGCTCGGTTATCTTCTTGAAAAAGATAACCTCCCTCACCAAAATAGCTCCTCTCAACATACTCCTGTTGCTGTTATTACACTATATACACACACGGTATATACCCATGTACATATGTGAACCACTAAGCTAGTATGGTGAGCAAAACACCAAGTGAGGGAGGGAGGGAGGTGACGTCGTAATCATAGCGTCATCTGCTATCTGCTGTGTGATTTCTCATACAGTGTATGATGACCACTGTACTGTTTGGACACAATACCGGCTTACTTGCGTAGTTCTGGTGAATAAAACATGTAGATAGGTATACATAACATATGTAAATAGTATAATATAAACAGTAAGAGTATGGTGGGAGGGGTGATGGTGAGTACGATGTTGGAGGAGAGAGGGAGGACTGGCTGGCTGGATGTGGCTGCTCACACTCGAGGAGTTTGTGTGTGTGGATGGTGAATGTATATAGTGTGTGACAGTGTATAGTGTGTAAATAGATTGTATATATACATAAATTAGCATGATACATGGTAAATATGTGCAACATATGTGTACACAAGTGTCATGCACATAACACAGTGTCTTCGGACAGTACGGATGTTTTACTGCCATAATATAGTGTACATGTTCATTATACATAGGATTAGCACATAAAAACAAATGAAATGTATTTGGAACTGTGCACAAAAAATGAACAAAAATATATTCGCGGCAGTTCGCGCGCCCCGCCCCGGGTGCCCTACTGGCACCGGGAGCGTACGTCACGGGCGAATGGGGAATGATGACGTCATGCGCCAACTTACGGACCCCATAGCAGCCAAAGTACGTACAATGTCGAAATTTTTTTGACATACCCATACTGAGGGAAGGGTTTTTGACACTTAAAAAACAAAAGAATTTTTTCCAGAGTATTTATTTCCTGCGCACTGGGGGGGGGGGGGGGAGGTCATATTTGGAAGCCGAGCAGTTAAGGGGTTAAGTTGGAGCTGCAACCAAACTAAGATGAAAGGTGGTATGCCAGACTTGGTGGGCATATGTTTACTAATACCCAGAAAGGAATATACAGTACTGTACTTACTATGTTATTCCAATATTGTGACTAAAAAGTTAGACATTTATATGCCTCTGGATTTAACAGAGTCCTAGACTTAACACCTCACATAGGCTAAACAGAGTGGATACTGTACACAGTATGTAAATAACTACACAAAACAATATTTCTGACCATTTGTGTGTATTAAAACATTATCAAAGAATACAACAGAAGCAAGAGGGTCAAAGAGGAGAATACTGTATATATACACTCACAGACTCTGACCTGAGTATATAAAAGCTATATTATATGGAGGTGAAGTGATGCAATTTAAAAACCTAGCTACATGATACATAAAGCAAATAATACCATCTCCTTGAAAAGAACAGTACAAGAGCACTGGATCACAGAGGATTTGGGACTGCATAACTGGGAATTAATTACTTGTAAGCAAGTACAGTACTCCGAAGTACTCACCATCTCGTAGTTAATAAAAAATGCAGATTTGAAGTTTTGTGCAATCCACTTAACAAGTTGTGAGGACTTGTGTATGCTCATGTACACCAGGACACACTCGGCCAGAAACAGTGTTGGCAAAGAATATTCCAGGTCAGATTCCTTAATCTTGGCCTCCACCTCTGTGATGTTTCTCAAGTCAACTCCAGCCAGCTTGTAGGTGTGGCCATGGAGATTATTTCTGTTCAGCTTAACATCATAATCTGAAGTAATAATAAACATTATATAATAATAATAATAATAATATATTAATCGCACACAAGTCACATTAACGTGATATATATCAGTGAGAAAATCTACCAGGGCTGTGAGGTGGCACGAGCCTCCGACCCCGACATTGTCAGCCTCGTACTCTACCACTGGACCACTGGTGGTAGAGTAATAATAATAATTATAATAATTCATTGTGTCTAAGGACAGGCAGCCAGTGTATATAAAGATGTCATAAGCATTTTCCTAAAGCATTTCTGCCCTGCCTAGAATTCTGAATTGTGTGTTGAGAATGAACCAAGCACTACTACCAGGAACCTCAATATTATTATTTATTCAAAATTTGATACAATATGGAAAGCCTAAAATCTATTACAATGGGCACCTAAGAAACAATAACTAGAAAAGAAAATGGGTTACTAAGGGACACACTACATATAGCTTATGACAAAAATCATGAATTGAATAATGGAAAGCACATCCTGAGCATATTATTCAGCTGCTACTTATACTGAACAATATGTAACACGAACGAGGAGCAACGGTTTCAAGCTCAACAAGCCACAGTGTGGGATAGAAAACAGGAGATGCTTTTTCACACATAAGGTTGCAAAACCATGGAACCACCTACCCGTCGATGCTATAAATGCCAAAACTTAGCTGGGTTTTAGAAAACAGCTGGAAAAGATCATCAAATAAGAGGCAAGTATAAACTTAAGATTTTTTAAACACCTTCATCACTGACTGCCTGAAGAAGTTGCTTTGATCGTTGGATGTAGTGACATTTTCGAGAAGTCACACCAGGGAAGTCCAACTCCAAGAACCCCTTCACTGATTTCCCTTCATCAACTAGTCTCCAGTAGAGGGTGTCGAAGCCAGCTCCAATATTTACAATTTGACAGTTACCATTAGTCACCTGTCAAAAAAAAAAAATTATTATTCTGTGTAAGGAAGATTCCATGTTATAGTTTCAAGGGAGTGAAAAGGCCCTCCCCTCGTAAAAAAAAAAATTGTGATCTACATTGCCTATTTAAATAAAGTGGCTCAAAGGTTTCAAGATGTCAACTCATTACTAGGAAATAAATATTTTCATGTGTGTATGTAAAAATTATGTTGACATTCTTTGCTTTCTTTTATGCCCAAGTTGAATCATTACTTACTGTAGTACTTCAAACTGTGTATCATCTAAAATATTAAGTCTTTAAATCTCGGTTATATTTCATCCTCTTCACATGAAGTGACACAACTTTACTTAAAATGAAGATTTAGTGCACAAGAATAAATATAATATAAGAATCAAGCACTGAATGTAATGAAACACCCTTTCAATGGTGAGCCGGCTGGTTGCAACTCAAGCTAAGTGCAGGAATTGCTAACCCTTTAAAAATTAGTCTGATTCTCACCCTGGCTTATTGGAAACCAGTACATCAGAATCAGATACAGTACTCCAAGTGAAAAATACTCAAAATCAAATACTCCAGAATAGATACTCCAAATGGAATCAGATAGATATCCAAAATCAGAGATAAAACTCGCCAGAAAAGTTAGGAGCATCAAAACTAATGAGTGCTTGAAAGAACTAGTACCCCCGAGGTACACAAAGCAAATGATTATCATGGAAAAACTACCCTTACTGTGAAACGCCCGATCCCCATCAGATGGCGGCCCAGGTCACCTGGGGTCCCAGTCGGCCACACACCTCGCATGCAAACCAAAAGTATATATCCTCAAAACCCCAACAGAAAAGGAGAAACCAGGCAGGGAATGGGGAGCTACTGATAAGTCCACCAGAAAAGGGCATTTTATTATATTCAATGTTTGGTTTCTGGGAAGGCCCCTTCAGTAACTCTCCAAGCTACAGTATCTCCCAAAGGTGCCTCAGCAGAAGACCACAACTTTCCAGAAAGGTAACAAAGGAATACAAGTAATAGGAAAGATTTATGCTTTGACAATCTACAGATTTATGCTTTGACATTATGCCTGGAACATAGGCCCATCACTGTGTTTAATTCCCTGATGTCCCTGTCCCTAGCCCTTTTGCTCTACGCAAGGTTTCTGTCCATGCTGAGCTGGCCTTAGGACACCTGCGCTATCATTTGACAGATGTACCGCCCCAGTCAAACTCCCCACCTGATAATGTCCTCGGAGCAGATCGCGGCGGGTGCGAACGCCCGGGCTTGGGGCAGTAGGCTCACATGCCTACTTGCTTACCACATGCACCCTGCAATTCACCTCTATCATCTCTAGATGAACAACTTTCTATAATGTTTATAGTGTCTTCAGCAGGAAGGAATGTTCTGCACTATATTGGAATCTGACCCAACTGTCAGTTGGGTTAAACCATGTATAGGATTCCAAAAATGTGCAACCATGTTTGAACATTACGAGCTTCCAAAGAAAATTAATGAAAACATCTTAAGTTAATAAAAATTAGTTATTTGTCACAATACTGTAAATGCTCCATCCACCCATATACTTTATATACAAAAAGTCGCCAAATGAACCTAAACGTAACCAATGCCTAAATACACATAGAATTTAATGAATAACAATGTTAATTTATATACAAGAACAAACCTATTTTGAATATACAGTACATTAAAATTGATAAATGCGTCTTGGGGGACGGCCATTGCATCAACGAGACTGGCCTGAAGATGGGTTGCTCTCAGTTTGGGCGCTCATATGGTTCAACATGGTTGCACATTTTTTTTAACTCTATACATGGGTTAACCCAACTGGGTCAGATTCCAGTATGGTGCAGAACAAGTCATAAGTCAAAACTGGGACTCCTGGTTCAAGGTTCAAGGAGCCAATGTGCAGACAATGATAACAATGAGCAGATATCCAGACACCTACTCTTCCTGAGGACGTCCAGATAACAAAACATGATTATTGCCTGTTGGGTCATGATAGTGTACAACCATCTGGCATTCCTCTACTGAAGCCTGCTTTTCGAAGCTTGGCACCATTATCTTCTGGGGTCACAGTAATGTTGATAGATTTTTTCCACAGTTTTTCAGTTGGTTCTTCACATGAGGAAGTGTCCGATGCCGGTTGGCTTAGAGGTGCTGGGAGTTGGCGGGCCTTGGTGGCCTCCAAATGTGCCTTCAGGGTGTGGTGGCAGCTGGCTCCTGTTCTGAATTTTGTCCGATTGGGTTTTGAGTATGGGATGGGCCTTTGTTATTTAGTCGTTTGACTTCGATTTTTGGCTACCCAGATTTACAGGATGCCTAACTCAATATTGTCTGGGGTCACTGAGTGTTGATAGTTTTCCATTGCACTGTGCCATTGTATGGTACCGTGCACGTGCTATACAATGTCTTTATCTGCGATATGCACAGCACTTTTTCTGCCATGCAACTTATAGTCTTTGGGCTTAGAACTTTTTCCCAGCATGCGGAAACAATGGGGGTACGTACGATCTGGAGCCGTCATTGCTCCAAATTTAAAAACAACAAAATGTCAAAACAGCCACTTCCTTCACTAAGGAGGGAAGGAAGGTGAGGGTGGTGCCCCACTCGATCCTGGACAAAACACCTCCATTAATGTACTCTAGTTTAAGCTGTCTTAAACTATTTGAAACTAAAGAAAATGATGAACAAATATTTTTGTAAACAATGATAATGATTTATTTGGATTAGGAGTTGCTTATTGGCACAGTACCTCAATGGGGTATGGTCGTTTCTGACAAGAGACAACTCAACGAAGCTCGCTCGTTGTTAAAACCGTGTATACTGCCATGCTAGGATGTATTAGCTTAGGTTAGACAGTATTTTGCTCGGTTGGGTTAGATTAGGTTGAGTTGGGGAGGGTTAGGTAAGGTTGAGTTGGGGAGGGTTAGGTAAGGTTGAGTTGGGGAGGGTTAGATTAGGTTGAGTTGGGGAGGGTTAGGTTAGGTTGAGTTGGGGAGGGTTAGGTTAGGTTGAGTTGGGGAGGGTTAGGTAAGGTTGAGTTGGGGAGGGTTAGGTAAGGTTGAGTTGGGGAGGGTTAGGTAAGGTTGAGTTAGGGAGGGTTAGGTTAGGTTGAGTTAGGGAGGGTTAGGTTAGGTTGAGTTGGGGAGGGTTAGGTAAGGTTGAGTTAGGGAGGGTTAGGTTAGGTTGAGTTGGGGAGGGTTAGGTAAGGTTGAGTTAGGGAGGGTTAGGTTAGGTTGAGTTGGGGAGGGTTAGGTAAGGTTGAGTTAGGGAGGGTTAGGTTAGGTTGAGTTAGGGAGGGTTAGGTTAGGTTGAGTTAGGGAGGGTTAGGTTAGGTTGAGTTGGGGAGGGTTAGGTAAGGTTGAGTTAGGGAGGGTTAGGTTAGGTTGAGTTGGGGAGGGTTAGGTAAGGTTGAGTTAGGGAGGGTTAGGTTAGGTTGAGTTGGGGAGGGTTAGATTAGGTTGAGTTGGGGAGGGTTAGGTTAGGTTGAGTTGGGGATGGTTAGGTTAGGATAGGGTAAGTTGGGAAGGATTAGGTTAAATGAACAAATCCACAAGAGCCGTGACGAGGGTTTGAACCTACATCCGAGAGGATCCCAGACGCTGCCTTAATCGACTGAGCTACGACATGGTAAAAGAATTGCAACTGGGAAATCATCCTGACCTACTGCGGGTCCTGCAGTCTCTCCAAGACACAAACCAGGGTGTTACACAATTCCCCCCATGCACCCGAGCTCTGCCAATAGGCTGTTTGGACGTAGGTTCGAATCCTCGTCATGGCCCTTGTGGATTTGTTTATTTGATGCATCACGCTATTGTGATTTCTGTGTGTAAGAGTTAGGTTAGATTGAGCTGGGGAAGGTTAGGTTAGGTATCTTCCAAATCTATTGGCGAATCGTCTTGTGTACGATGTGACTTGTATCCACCTGAATGGACCTATCTACGAGTAAGAGTACCCTGACAGTCCAGGACAGTACCGATCAATCCGACCAAGAGGCTGGGAGTACCTCAATGAACTAGTAACCGAGTAAGAGTACTCTGACAGTCCAGGACAGTACCCAAGTACCCGAGCAAGAGGCAACGAGTACCTCAATGAACCTGTCTACGAGTAAGAGTATCCTGACAGTCCAGACCAGTACTGGAGCAAGAGTTGGACCCTGACAGTCCAGACCAGTACTGGAGCAAGAGGTGGACCCTGACAGTCCAGACCAGTACTGGAGCAAGAGGTGGACCCTGACAGTCCAGACCAGTACTGGAGCAAGAGGTGGACCCTGACAGTCCAGACCAGTACTGGAGCAAGAGGTGGACCCTGACAGTCCAGTACTGGAGCAAGAGGTGGACCCTGACAGACCAGTACTGGAGCAAGAGGTGGACCCTGACAGACCAGTACTGGAGCAAGAGGTGGACCCTGACAGACCAGTACTGGAGCAAGAGGTGGACCCTGACAGACCAGTACTGGAGCAAGAGGTGGACCCTGACAGTCCAGTACTGGAGCAAGAGGTGGACCCTGACAGTCCACAGTCCAGACCAGTACTGGAGCAAGAGGTGGACCCTGACCAGACCAGTACTGGAGCAAGAGGTGGACCCTGACAGTCCAGTACTGGAGCAAGAGGTGGACACTGACAGACCAGCACTGGAGCAAGAGGTGGACCCTGATAGACCAGTACTGGAGCAAGAGGTGGACCCTGACAGACCAGCACTGGAGCAAGAGGTGGACCCTGACAGACCAGCACTGGAGCAAGAGGTGGACCCTGACAGACCAGCACTGGAGCAAGAGGTGGACCCTGACAGACCAGTACTGGAGCAAGAGGTGGACCCTGACAGACCAGCACTGGAGCAAGAGGTGGACCCTGACAGACCAGTACTGGAGCAAGAGGTGGACCCAGACCAGACCAGTACTGGAGCAAGAGGTGGACCCTGACAGACCAGCACTGGAGCAAGAGGTGGACCCTGACAGACCAGTACTGGAGCAAGAGGTGGACCCTGACAGACCAGCACTGGAGCAAGAGGTGGACCCTGACAGACCAGTACTGGAGCAAGAGGTGGACCCTGACAGACCAGTACTGGAGCAAGAGGTGGACCCTGACAGACCAGTACTGGAGCAAGAGGTGGACCCTGACAGACCAGTACTGGAGCAAGAGGTGGACCCTGACAGACCAGTACTGGAGCAAGAGGTGGACCCTGACAGACCAGTACTGGAGCAAGAGGTGGACCCTGACAGTCCAGTACTGGAGCAAGAGGTGGACCCTGACAGTCCAGACCAGTACTGGAGCAAGAGGTGGACCCTGACAGACCAGTACTGGAGCAAGAGGTGGACCCTGACAGACCAGTACTGGAGCAAGAGGTGGACCCTGACAGTCCAGTACTGGAGCAAGAGGTGGACCCTGACAGTCCAGACCAGTACTGGAGCAAGAGGTGGACCCTGACAGACCAGTACTGGAGCAAGAGGTGGACCCTGACAGACCAGTACTGGAGCAAGAGGTGGACCCTGACAGTCCAGACCAGTACTGGAGCAAGAGGTGGACCCTGACAGTCCAGACCAGTACTGGAGCAAGAGGTGGACCCTGACAGACCAGTACTGGAGCAAGAGGTGGACCCTGACAGTCCAGACCAGTACTGGAGCAAGAGGTGGACCCTGACAGTCCAGTACTGGAGCAAGAGGTGGACCCTGACAGTCCAGACCAGTACTGGAGCAAGAGGTGGACCCTGACAGACCAGTACTGGAGCAAGAGGTGGACCCTGACAGTCCAGACCAGTACTGGAGCAAGAGGTGGACCCTGACAGTCCAGACCAGTACTGGAGCAAGAGGTGGACCCTGACAGTCCAGACCAGTACTGGAGCAAGAGGTGGACCCTGACAGTCCAGACCAGTACTGGAGCAAGAGGTGGACCCTGACAGTCCAGACCAGTACTGGAGCAAGAGGTGGACCCTGACAGACCAGTACTGGAGCAAGAGGTGGACCCTGACAGTCCAGACCAGTACTGGAGCAAGAGGTGGACCCTGACAGACCAGTACTGGAGCAAGAGGTGGACCCTGACAGACCAGTACTGGAGCAAGAGGTGGACCCTGACAGTCCAGTACTGGAGCAAGAGGTGGACCCTGACAGTCCAGACCAGTACTGGAGCAAGAGGTGGACCCAGACAGACCAGTACTGGAGCAAGAGGTGGACCCTGACAGTCCAGACCAGTACTGGAGCAAGAGGTGGACCCTGACCAGACCAGTACTGGAGCAAGAGGTGGACCCTGACAGACCAGTACTGGAGCAAGAGGTGGACCCTGACAGTCCAGTACTGGAGCAAGAGGTGGACCCTGACAGTCCAGACCAGTACTGGAGCAAGAGGTGGACCCAGACAGACCAGTACTGGAGCAAGAGGTGGACCCAGACCAGACCAGTACTGGAGCAAGAGGTGGACCCTGACAGACCAGTACTGGAGCAAGAGGTGGACCCACACCAGACCAGTACTGGAGCAAGAGGTGGACCCTGACAGACCAGTACTGGAGCAAGAGGTGGACCCTGACAGTCCAGTACTGGAGCAAGAGGTGGACCCTGACAGTCCAGACCAGTACTGGAGCAAGAGGTGGACCCTGACAGACCAGTACTGGAGCAAGAGGTGGACCCTGACAGACCAGTACTGGAGCAAGAGGTGGACCCTGACAGTCCAGTACTGGAGCAAGAGGTGGACCCTGACAGTCCAGTACTGGAGCAAGAGGTGGACCCTGACAGTCCAGACCAGTACTGGAGCAAGAGGTGGACCCTGACAGTCCAGACCAGTACTGGAGCAAGAGGTGGACCCTGACAGACCAGTACTGGAGCAAGAGGTGGACCCTGACAGACCAGTACTGGAGCAAGAGGTGGACCCTGACAGTCCAGACCAGTACTGGAGCAAGAGGTGGACCCTGACAGTCCAGTACTGGAGCAAGAGGTGGACCCTGACAGTCCAGACCAGTACTGGAGCAAGAGGTGGACCCTGACAGACCAGTACTGGAGCAAGAGGTGGACCCTGACAGTCCAGACCAGTACTGGAGCAAGAGGTGGACCCTGACAGTCCAGACCAGTACTGGAGCAAGAGGTGGACCCTGACAGTCCAGACCAGTACTGGAGCAAGAGGTGGACCCTGACAGACCAGTACTGGAGCAAGAGGTGGACCCTGACAGACCAGCACTGGAGCAAGAGGTGGACCCTGACAGACCAGTACTGGAGCAAGAGGTGGACCCTGACAGACCAGCACTGGAGCAAGAGGTGGACCCTGACAGACCAGTACTGGAGCAAGAGGTGGACCCTGACAGACCAGCACTGGAGCAAGAGGTGGACCCTGACAGTCCAGTACTGGAGCAAGAGGTGGACCCTGACAGACCAGTACTGGAGCAGGAGCGTGGTAGTACCTCTATGAACCTGTCAACGAGGGTCTTGACAGCAAGGGTCCTGGCGAAGTAGCCACGGTTGATCTCTGGGGCCTTGCGGTGTGTGGCCCTGACGAAGTGGGTGATGAAGGGGTCGGTCCAGTAGCCCAGGGCCACGGCGCACCTCTTGCACCCGCTGGCGTCCTCGTTGGTCCCCATCACCGCCTCCTCGTTCCCCGTCTCCAACACCTGCTGCTGCTGCATCATCCTGGCACGCTGCTGAGGGCCAGCCCTCACACTCCTGCTGCTCCTACTGCTGGTGCTGGTGGACGACTAGTGTGCCAGCCTCGCCACCGCCGCTGCCACCCTCACACTGCAGCAGACGACGCCGCCTCACACCTCACACTACTGACACTCACACTCACCAAGTACCTTGTGGCTGTTAATATTGTGGTGGTGGTCATTATATCCTCCACGTCACCGGCATACTCATGATGCAGGTAAATATCTATTGTCTCTCCCCATGTATTGTCTCTCCCCCATGTATCTCCATTTATTCTGTCTCCATGTATCATGTATTCTCAGTCCCATGTATCTCTATGTATTATCAGTCCCCATGTATTAACCGCTAGCTGTGGCTACTGGAGCTCTGGGTCCTACAGTTACAATATATATATGTCGCACACCCTACACATGTGCATTTTAGTCACAGTGGTCTACGTCCCTGACTTACACCCGATGACCCCGGGCTCAATCCCCGGGCAGGTCAGAAACGCTTGGGCAAGTTTCTTTTGACCTCATGCTTCTTTTTTTTCACATAATAGTCAAAATTAGGTACACAGGAGTTTGATAGGTGTTTACTTCTCCGTTGTGTAGGTGATTAACTAGCTTAGGGTTGGGAGGAGGGTACCTCAGTGGGCCTCACTACAGGGCTTGTACCCCCTAACAACCAGAGAGGTTATAAGAGGTTGTGTTCAGTAAGTGGGCACATCTTTGGGGCCATGTGCATGAAGCTTTAGGGGTCATGAACCACAGGGGAGAGTCAGGACCGCCCCTACGAGCTCCGTCTAATTACCACAAGCTTCACATAGCTTCATGACAATACGTTAGTAATGAATAAATATGATATATTTACTCATTATAATGTTGGTGCTGAATGTACAACACGAAAAAAACAATTTTAATCTGAAAAAGTATCTTTTTATAAAGAAATTAGACGAAAATAAAGAGCTCGTGATGCCAAATCAAGTCGATGATCGAAGCGTCGGTTAGGTTAGGTTTGGTTAGGTTAGGTTAGGTTAGGTTACATTACATTAGATTAGGTTAGGTTAGGTTAGGTCAACCCAACGTAACATATTATATTTATTCATTACTAACGTATTGCCAGGAAGCTTTGTGAAGCTTGAGTAGCTTGTGGTAATTAGACGAACCTCCTACAAGGATAGTGGCAGGGGTACGGGTCTCTTGATCACTACAAACACAAGTAAAATACGAATGCAAATGTTTATTCCAAAGAATGTGTGTACAAAGAACGTAAGAGTAATGTACAGTTGTAGGGAGAGGAGTCACACAATCTGTGAAGCCAGTATTACGCAGAGCGTTTTGGGCCAAAAGCATTCCAGCTGCTCCTCAGTGGTCGGCCAGCATGGAACCTGCTATAATTTACACGCCCGACCACATTCCTTGACGTTACAACACTGCGGACAACCTGATGACGGGTGTAGCGATGAAATGTTGTCCAGACGTACCGCAGGTCCTTTTTTTTTTTTTTTTTTTTTTTTTTGAGATATATACAAGAGTTGTTACATTCTTGTACAGCCACTAGTACGCGTAGCGTTTCGGGCAAGTCCTTAATCCTATGGTCCCTGGAATACGATCCCTAGCCGCGAAGAATCGTTTTTTCATCCAAGTACACATTTTACTGTTGCGTTAAACAGAGGCTACAGTTAAGGAATTGCGCCCAGTAAATCCTCCCCGGCCAGGATACGAACCCATGACATAGCGCTCACGGAACGCCAGGCGAGTGTCTTACCACTACACCACGGAGACTTGAACCAGACGAGACTTTTTAGTTAACAGTTTTATCTAACAGTAAAGAAACTAAAAGTTTTTTAGCATGTAGGTGGTTGGCAACCGCTCGATAACTAGCATGTAAAGTTCCCTAATAAAGTTTACCCAAAGTTCCCAAGGACTGTTGACCTAAACCAACAGTATGTTAAACTCTTCACCAATATTGACCACTCGGCAATAAACACCCTTCACTTCCTTCAGACTACTAGTATTTAAAAGCGAAACAAATAAGTACTTTATGTACTTGGCATGTAGTCATATATGTGTGTGTCCACCACATCAAATACTGGACATGGGGGGCCTCGTAGCCTGGTGGATAGCGCGCAGGACTCGTAATTCTGTGGCCCGAGTTCGATTCCCGCACGAGGCAGAAACAAATGGGCAAAGTTTCTTTCACCCTGAATGCCCCTGTTACCTAGCAGTAAATAGGTACCTGGGAGTTAGTCAGCTGTCACAGGCTGCTTCCTGGGGTGTGTGTGTGTGTGTGGTGTGAAAAAAAAAAAAGTAGTTAGTAAACAGTTGATTAACAGTTGAGAGGCGGGCCGAAAGAGCAAAGCTCAACCCCCAAAAACACAACTAGGTGAATACATGTAGTCATATATATCTGTCTGAGATGCCATGTGTGTTACTGGCTTTGCAAGAATATAAAAATATCACTTATGTAATCTCACATATCCATTGTACCTTCTTGTAAATAATAATTTATTATTATTATTATTATTATTATTATTATTATTATTATTATTATTATTATTATTATTATTATTATTATTATATACTGTATGTCCACCGCACCAAATACCATAAATCTCCCATATGACCATCATCCTAAATTGACAATGCTTCATCCTAAATATGGATCATCCTTAGGATGATATGACCTTCATCCCAAATTGACACAATGAATTAAATATGTCAGTAATGGTTTACAATACTCTGTACTATTATTGTAACAATTCTCTCTGTTTAACACAGGTTTATTAGTAATAACATTATTTTGAATTGTTATACTTTAACACTTAAGTTGTCTGAAACCTTCCTATATTAACTAGTAATACAGTACTGTACTATGTCATTAACACAATTTTTATTGCATAACCATATTGTTAGTTTAATATACAGTATGTCGACAGTACTCACCAGTGTTATATAACCAGTGTATGGTACAGTGGTACCTCGGGTTATGAACGTTCCTGTTTATGAACTTTTTGGGTTACGAGCTCGATTTGTTCAGAAAATTTGAATCGGGATACGAACTTTGCATCGGGATACGAGTTTGTTGATACACGTACGGCCGCCCTAGCACGTGGTGGCATGGTGATCGCGCCTCAGTTTACCAGTGCCTCACGCTCAGGGACTATCCCGCCTGAATTCTTCACAAGAATTTACAGTATTTTGTCGGATTTTTGGCCATTTGAGCATAAAAAGTTGTTATTGTATATCTCGCCATGGGTCCCAAGAAAGCCAGTGGTAAGGTTCAAGCAAGATATCACATGTGAGAATGACCATAGAGAAAAAACAAGAGATCATTTGTAAGCATGAAAATGGTACTTGTGTTGTTGAACTAGCTAGGCAGTACAACAGATCTTCAGGGGAGGAAGAGCAGGCAGTAGAGAATGTCCCTTCCTCATTAATTAAGAAAATGTGTGCAGTATGGGAAGGACTGCAAAGTTTTTCTAAAAAGAATCACCCAGATAAAGCTGTAGTAGGCCGTTGCATTAATCTTTTTAATGACAATGTGATGCCTCACTATAGACAAGTGTTGCAAAGAAGGGAAAAACAATCTTCAATGGAATGTTTCCTTGTGAGAAAAGTGACAAAATCAAGCAGTGAGCCACAAGCAGGTCCTAGTGGTATGCAGGCAAAATGTGCCAGAGAGTGTACCCCAGAGAAATCCTCACTGCCTGATGTTATAATGGAAGGGGACTCCTTTTCCAAACAGTAACACCTCTCCTCCTTCCCCCTCCTCCTCACCATCTTCCATATGCCAACAGGAGTCATCAGCAAGGGTAAGTAATAATTTGAACATACTTTTGTAGTGAAGATTTGGATGAATTAGGTATAAAATTTACTTTGAAGTTAAGTTTTTGGGGAGTCAGGAACAGATTAAATCATTTCCCATTATTTCTTATGGGGAAATTCGCTTCGGTTTACGAATTTTCGGGTTACGAACTGTCTCCCGGAACGGATTAAATTCTTAAACCGAGGTACCCCTGTACATATTTTTATTAATAAACAGTATTATTATTAGTAATGGTAATGTCTTCTCACGGACATAATAAGGTAAGATAAAAACCCACACACTTGTGTATTTGTGAAACTTATGTAAGGAATTTACACCAAGTCCTTTGCACTTTCCTGAGTGCTTTATGAAGGTCTGAGTGTGTGATTAGGACAAGACTTAGATTTCAATGTCTAAATCAAGGCAGATTTAGACATTGACAGAGCACTCAGGAGAGTACGAAAGACTTGGTGTAAATTCCTTACATAAACTTCACAAATACACAAGTACAGTATGGGTTTTTATCCAGTATTATTATTCTTGTGGTTACTGTATTATTACTACCATAACATAAGAACATAAGAACAAAGGTAACTGCAAAAGGCCTATTGGCCCATACGAGGCAGCTCGTATGATACTGTATATTCCACAAAAAAGGCCTAAATTTGTTTTGGAGCATTTTCTCAGACATGTGGCAGAAAATTCAATATAGTAGTGTACTGCTTCTTTTATTTTTAATCTCATTAGAAAAACACGAGTAATTCATGACTTTGTGTACGTTATACAGTGTACCTGATATGAAAGTACTGTAATATTAATGATAATTATTTTAACATTCCATAAATTATAGACAATTTCCATATCTCCTTTAGGTTACATAATTTCTTTAACCTTAACAAAACCTGAAAGCTAATTAATGTTGCAGAGGGAAGAAAGAGCTCTGGATATTGCTCTAGATGCTATCCTGCAGCGTGTTATTGATATCAAGAATTCCTTACAAGAGCTTCTGGTCAAAGTCGAGCGAGAAGGAGAGCAAGCCGACTGGCCATCGTACCTTAATTCTTTCTCTGTCATATCTGCACAGGTCAGTATTTTTTCATCTTCCAATTGGTCTCTTTGTTTTAACAAGGAAAGTTAATTTGGAATTTAAAATAATAGTTAAGCATCTCATTTAATTTTTATTTTACATATCAGAGTTAACAATTTTGATAAACAAAATCAGTGAATTCATACTCGATTATTTTTCTGGGCTAGACCACTTAGTTGCTTCATTAGACAAAGCTAAGAATATTGGAGGGAACTGTTGACAAGCCACCAGCATCCTGTCCCTATTGAGGCCACTAGAGATAGTAAATTCACGTAAAACCAAAAACAACCTGGCTGTCCAACATTTCACTCTGGCACAGCGAGGAAGGGGGGAGGGGGGGGGATCTTTTGAAATGTGTCCACCAGATCATACAAGAGAGAAACTCGAGAAGACTTTATCAAATCAGGAATGACTTTCAGAAAGGTCATTCATCTACGCTAAAAAATATCCAAGTGTAACTTGCAATTGCTACTAGATGTTTACACATATTTATTTATTTATTTATGTATACAAAAGTTCTTACATTCTGGTAAAGCCACTAGCATGCATAGCATTTCGGGCAGGCCTAATTTTCCCCGGAATACGACCCATCAAATTGTTTAACAACCAGGTACCCATTCACTGCTGGGTGAACAGAGGCAACAGTTAAGGACTGGCACCCAGTTACTCCTCCCCCCCCCCCTCTCTCCCATAATACAAGCCCAGGCCAAAGCTCAGGGCGAGTGTTTTACCACTGCGCCACGGGGATGGGCACGGGATATGGCAACAGAGTAGGTGTTGGGCCTAATTGAATAGCTCTTAGTTGTCTATCAGTCAATGCTTCTTGAATTTTTTACCCCTGCACTGCACCCTGGTATGCAAGAAAAAAGTTTTCTTAAATTTGTTTATTTCTAATATTGTTAAAATGCATTCCCTAATCACAAGAAAATAATAAAATTAAATATAACTTAACATGTCTGTGAATGAAACAATTGTCACAAATATGCAAACCAAATTGTTTTATTTCACTGTAAATTTCTTATCTGTTCCTGAGTTTTATCATTATATACACTCAATCTATACATGCTTATGCTCTATTATAACACACTCAGAAGTTGTAAAAAGTGTGATATTCACTGAAGCAGTTCACGTAACACAAGATGGCACTGCATTCTTTGTGTTATGTGTGAAGAGTGTGGTGCTTTCTTTCCATGCCTTTGGCCTCCTTTGTGTGTTCTTACTCTCACGTTGGTCTTATGCATGCATTCTAGTAGCTGGTATATTCAATTTTGTGAGATGGAAAGCCCACTTTGAAAGCCAGTCTGTCTGGAACAGCGCGGAACAATGTTGAGCTGAGAATACCTCTGGTTATGGCACGAATGGCTGTGCCGCACCTTGTTAGTAATTTTGTCAAAACGGCAAGACTGAACACATGCATAGTTGGAATTTGGTATGGTTTTACCATATACATATTGTAACTATTTAGCATGGTTATGTTAACAAGATGGAAAAACAATTTCTTGATTCACTTGACAGTTTTATGGTCACACTCCACAGTGGCAACCATCACACTACGCTTACCAACCATGCTCATGTTTATGTTACAGTCAATGACACAGTCTGGTTTATATACTGGTTCTTTGGTTGCTTTGCTCACCTTGCTACTGGTCACCATGCTACCAATGGCAATGGTTGTCAACATATTCACTCCTCGTCTCTCTTTCCAACGCACTACAAGTATTTTGCCACTTATTTTTTAGCTGACATTCACCTATTGCAATATTTTTGTCAACCACCAGCATTTTCCTTCTTTGTGACTACTGTGCCACACACTCCTGTATTATGTTAGAGCAGGAAATTCCTTAGCAAGGGACTGGTATAATAATAATTGTATATACAATGGGGCCCTTGTTCAGCAGTGGAACCATGAGTGTCTTTACTACACTGCCTGAAAAACCATGAGGATTGTTATTGGGAATGTCTACATCAGTGCCACAGTGTAGTATCATGTCTATCACCATTCCTGTCTCACAAATACACAGAAGAAAGAATTTGAGTCCAGATCTGTTGCATTTGGAGAAGATACACTGCTTGAGGGCAACATGTCTTTTGAAAAGCACAAGTACAGTAATTTGTCAGTCACCAGCTTCTGACCTGGTACATAGAAGTCTTTGTACTTGCCATTCAGTTCACCAGAGCTGCACCTGGTAATAACATGTACATTACTACCACTAGCCATGCACTGCTAAAACTACAATCAGTTTCATGATCGCTGAATCTGGAAAATGAGTTATCTTCCACATGTTCATGACCTAAAGGAACAGTATGTTGCACAGACCCACATGACCTGTCTACGACTTTTACAGGCTCACTGTAGGCCCGTGCTACATGGACATTTTGTTCTGAGTTACTATATCTAAAACAACAAGAAGTGTATCGGTTGGAGTGGGGCCATGACGGGACTGGTGACAGTGTAGTCCTCGGCCTCGGGGCAGACACACGTGCGTCATACTTTGTACTTTAAAACATCCCTGATTGTGTCGTGCAGTTTATGAATATTTACTGAGAACATCCTTTGTTGTGTCGCGCAATGGAAGGGTTTGTTGTTCAGTCAAATGTATAGAGGCAGGTGACAGATATTCTTCTTTTTCATCTGCAAGAGTCTTTAAAACAATAATATGATGTGGTATGGAAATCTTTTTGGCTCCTTCTACCTCTTGTCAGTTGTCATATGGTGAATATCGTTCTTATATCAGTTGGCGTTGGTGAGGCGTTGGTGAAGCATCTTTTCTGTAGGTTTAGTTTGGACTAAGATGTGCTTCCTTCATGAAACCGGCTGGAATATTCTTTCATTTACTAGAGTTAACCATTCACTGTTCTGTAGCTGTGACTGAGGGCTACGAGGGAATCTGGCTCTCATACCCTCTTCCTGAATCTCTACATTATCGTTCCTTATATGAAAGCCCAGCCATCCCAGATCATTTGTCAGTTGTTTAAAACTTCATCTCGCCAGAAAGTTCTTCTCATTTTGCCATTTTTGAAACTACATATTTGTATACATTTGCTGGGCTTTCTTCTTCAGATATTCCTTTAATACATATCACAGCATCTTCTTCAGGTTATCTTGAGATTATTTTTGGGGCTTAGCATCCCCCGCGGCCCAGTCCTCAACCAGGCCTCCTTTTTGTTACACATCCCGAGGATGCAGCCCGTAGCAGCTGTCTAACTCCCCGGTACCTATTTACTGCTAGATAATGGAGGCATCAGGGTGAAAGAAACTCTCCCCATTTGTCTCCGCCACCACCGGGGATCGAACCCAGAACCTTAGGACTACAAATCCGAAGTGCTGTCCACTCAGCTGTCAGGCCCTAATCTTGCTTTAAGATCACTATCAACTCTTCTTTAGTGTTCATTGACTGTCAATCTCTCTCTCTCTCTAAACTTCTCAACTTGTTTTATTTAACCTCTTGTATCTTTCTGAGGTACAATCAGTGTTTTACAACAGTCTTATCTTACACACTGTCATGTGATTAGAGAAACCTCCAAGTATTCCTTCTGTTGTGTTTGTACCACTGATATACTTCAAGGTGCCTCTCTCCACAAGTTCACTACCCTTACATCATCACAGTGTGCCGTGTATGCTTATGATACCATTACTGTATACTTAAAATATATGTAAGTAATATTACATTGATGACTTTGTTCTACAGCCATGATCATTTAAGGTATTCCTGAGACATAATATGTACTCATATGTCACTTCTAGAACCTATTCCCACTTTACCGTTCATATCACCTCTTGCAACTGTCCTCCAACTCCTTGCTATAATTTCTTGAAATTGTAACATTTTTAATTTGTAAGTATGTGACTATACATTTGAGTTAGAATATTATGTGTACTGTATGTGTTTTGTGCATCACATCATCTGCAAGTTTGTCAGTCATATATAATTTTTGTGTCGGCCATACATGGTAATAGTTTAGTCCCGAGAGTGTAAGCAGGTTTCAGAAATATCGTCCACAATGGTGTGAAGATTTTTGAAGCATGGGAAGCCCATATTGGCCAGTGTAATATCTCCCTTTGTTGGTGTTTCCATTTGCAACATGCTGTGAACCTTGGTAAAGATTGCATTGTAACATCTTACAAATAGGAAATATTCATATACTGTACCTGGTTGATGGGGTTTTGGGAGTTCTTCTACTCCCCAAGCCTGGCACGAGGGTAGGCTTGATATGTATTTGTTTTAAAAACTGACAAAGAATAAGAAGTTGTTTTAAAAAGATTGCATTGTCATATTTATGTTTTTAGTGTTAAGCATGTTTTATAAATAAGGTGAATTGAAGAATAAATGCCTGTTTTCAATTAACAGATATACACTCTTATGAAACTATTGAAAAATGATAAGACGCCCATTCTGCGGAACTACCTCACTCTTCCGCTGCAGTTGAATGCCGAGTCTGATGAAAAGTTGATCATGGCCACTGAAGGTAGAGTGCCATCCTTCAGTCATGACTTTGTGCCTAATATGCTACGAACAAAACCAGAGCCAGATGTGGAACAAAGGCATTTAGCACTGGAGGCCAAAATGGCACAAGTCAATGCGGATACTGCACAGGTATGCTGAAATACTAATCTTTTTAATCTGCAGTGACAGTTTTGTGTATGACTTAATTGTGTTGAATGTCCAGTGAAAAAGAGAGTATAGTATGTTAGTTGAAGTGAAGTAAGATGACTACACACAGTGTCCTGCATAGTGAAATACTATCTGAGTAGTATATGTAGCTAAAGTAACAGGTGCCTGTAGTAACGTTACTCTATTAATAGACTTTATTAATTTATTAAGAAAGTTACAAGCTAATTGCCTGTGTGTGGAATGACACGATGAATGGGATAATTGTGAAAATAGAAGATTAGCCCACATGCATGATAAATGTATTTTATATGTTTGTAATATCTTGTCACACAGAGAAGAAATAGGATAACATAAAAGGCAGCAGCTTAAACAAACCCATAAGTAGGTATAAAATAATTTGACAATTTTTGAATAACATTTATTTGTATGAAGACTTCTTAAAAAATTGCAATTCTTTTTTCCAACCATCTTTAGAAACAAATCAATGTCCACAATAAAGTAGTGAAGCACGTAATGGATTTAGTGAATACAGCTAGAGAGGAATGGGAAACGGAAACGGCTTCACGCACCAGCCAACCTCAGACGTGTTCCATCAATGAGACACAAGCCTTAATTGCAGCCTTAGGTACGGGCAAAGGCTTCAAAATACGAACTCAACCACCAGGACCATCACCCACTATGCCACAACAACCCCCTCCTCAAAGTAAGTCATTTTAGTGTATTTTATAAGACATAAATTACAGTACAGTATCCATACAATATGTGTAAATTTATGCCTAAGGTGTCTAAGGTTGGAGTGTGGGAAAGATTAGAGAAGGAGAGAATATGGGATACTATTAAGAAAGCAAGAAATAAGAAGAAATTAACAAGGAAAGGCAGGACGTAAAAGATTAAAAAGGAAGAGAATAACGTAATGTAGACTTGGCACAACAATTACAATAGGAATGTAAAATTCATGTTAGAAAAGGTTATGTCTAGGACCCTGTTTATTAAGTTACATCATAGAGAGTAGTGCAGTAATTCAGCTTTATGGAAATGATAACATAAGCTGCTCGATATACTGTATTACAAGTTTTGTGAATCATGACATCTGGTTGATATATATTTCTGAGCTAGTACTGTACTGTACTTTCAAACTGTTGATGTCATCATATTGTTTCAAGAGAGAGACTGCATAATATCCAAAATTTTTCTTGATAGTCAAGGTTTGGTCAAGTCACAACCCCTGATGGCTATTAGGTGACAGCATCAACATCACAATAAAGCCCTTCAATTGAACAAATCCACAAGGGCCATGACGAGGATTCGAACCTACGTCTGAGAGCATCCCAGACACTGAATTAATCAAGTCTATGCCAGAGAGCATCAAGTCTGGGATGCTCTCGGACGTAGGTTCAAATCCTTATCACGGCCCTTGTGGATTTGTTCATTTGATGCATCACGCTATTGTGATTTCTGTGTGTAAAGTCCTTCAGTTCAGACTCACATTCTATACTGACAGCTCAGCTGCAGGTTGTTTGGGCAAGTATATACTAGAACTTTCAGTTAAATGGCATATCCTAATATACCGTTTCATTTATGCAGCGTGTAATACTACAGTATGGAACACATTTTGTTTCTTCACTTTAACTGACCATTTGTCAGAATTATCTTCTCTGTGCTTGTCTGCTTTGAAATTGGGGTCGTAACTAAAAAAATTCGTAAGTAGGGGCAGTCGTAAGTCGAAATGACGCTGTATAATACGTATATTAAAATATTATGCGAAAATGATATATACCTTGCCTTACCTTGAGGTAATTCTGGGGCTCAGCGACCCCGCGGCCCGGTCGTCAACCAGGCCTCCTCGCTGCTGGACTTTTCAACCAGGCTGTTGGATGCAGCAGCTCGCAGCCTGACGTATGAGTCACAGCCTGGTTGATCAGGTATCCTTTGGAGATGTTTGTCAAGTTCTTTCTTGAACACTGTGAGGGGTCGGCCAGTTATGTCCCTTATGTGTACCGGAAGCGTGTTGAACAGTCTCGGGCCTCTGATGTTGATAGAGTTCACTCTCAGAGTACCTGTTGCACCTCTGCTCTTCAACGGGGGTATTCTGCACATCCTGCCATGCCTTCTGGTCTCATGTGCTGTTTTTTTCTGTGTGCAGGTTTGGAACCAGCCCCTCTATTATTTTCCATGTGTAAATTATTATGTATCTCTCCCTCCTGCGCTCAAGAGAATACAGGTTTAGGCTCTTTAGTTGGTCCCAATAGTTTAGAAGGTTTACTGAGAGTTAACCAGACCACACACTAAAAGTTGAAGGGACGACGACGTTTCGGTCCGTCCTGGACCGTTCTCAAGTCGATTAAATGATCCCCATTTTACTGAGAGGATTCTAGCAGTAAAGGATCTCTGCACGCTCTCCAGGTCAGTAATTTCTCCAGCTTTGAAATGGGCTGTCATTGTGCAGCAGTACTCCACTCTAGAGAGCACAAGCGTCTTGAAAAGTATCATCATCGGTATAGCATCTCTAGTGTGAAAGGTTCTTGATATCCAACCTGTCATTTTTCTTGCAGTTGTGACGGCTACTTTATTGTGTTCTTTAAATGTAAGGTCTTCCGACATGAGTACACCCAGATCCTTTACATTGCCTTTCCGTTCAATGTTATGATTTGACTGAGTTTTGTACGTGGTTTCCATTTTTTATATTTTAATTTTTTCCGTAGCGCATGAGCTGAAACTTATCTTCATTAAACACCAGGTTATTTTCTGTAGCCCATAGAAAGACCTGATTTACATCTGATTGAAGGTTTGCCGTGTCCTCTATGTTGCCTACTCTCATGAAGATCCTAGTGTCATCTGCAAAGGATGATACAGTACTATAGGTAATGTCTTTGTCTATGTCCGATATGAGGATGAGAAAAAGTACTGGAGCAAGCACAGTACCCTGGGGGACTGTACTGGAGCAAGCACAGTACCCTGGGGGACTGAGCTCTTCACGGTTGATGGACCGGATTTTATTTTGTTGACTATTACACATTGGGTTCTATTTGTCGGGAAATTGTAGATCCATCTGCCTATTTTTCCGGTAATTCCTTTTGAACGCATTTTATGTGCAATAAAACCATGGTCACATTTGTCAAAGGCTTTTGCGAAATCTGTGTAAATTACATCAGTGTTTTGTTTGTCTTCCATGGCATCTAGTGCCATGTCATAGTGGTCCAGCAACTGTGATAGGCAAGAGCGCCCTGTTCTGAAACCATGTTGTCCGGGGTTATGGAGATGCTGTGATTCCATGTACAGTATTTTGTGATCTTACTTCTTAGCACTCTCTCAAAGATTTTTATGATGTGTGATGTTAGTGCTATTGGTCTGTAATTTTTTGCCTCTGCCTTATTTCCTCCTTTATGGAGCGGTGCTATCTCTGCTGTTTTTAATATGTCAGGGATAATGCCAGTATCTAGGCTTTGTCTCCAAAGAATGTGAAAGGCCTGCGATAGCAGTTTTTTACAGTTATTGATGAATATATAGAGTTCTGAATATATTATTACAATACTGTATTAATATTATGATGGTGGTGATGATTTTATTATTACAATATTTGAGTTGTGTGTTGTAGTGTGTGGTTGTCCCCCGGAGTAAGGGGATAGTAAGACCATAGTAAGGTACCATAGAAACCATAGTAAGGTACTGTGCACAATGGTCCTTGTTACCCAGATGCTTTGCAGAGTGGTCCAGCACTGACAGCCTCGTGCTTGGGGGGACCCCACATCTTCTGCAGGCACTCTTCTCTGCATTATCCTATGCTGACTTGACTGCTTGGGGGGTTTTGGATGTTCACACACATGTTTGCCTCTCGGCCCCATTCTAATGTTTGCCACCTGCTCGCTAGTTTGTAGCCCTGGTCAGATTTCCTTCATGGTAGCCCTCTACTCCTCTGGTGGTGTGATGTGCCAGTGGGTGTGGCTGTGGATCTTTATGACAGTTCTTATCCACAGCCTCTCTTCATACTACTCTACAATCTTGTGAGCCTTGCATTTATACTTATGGTACCTCTACTGACATTGTATTAGGGAGCACTCTAGTACAATAGCTCACAGATCAAGCCTCGAGTGTATAAGCAAAACACTTTGCTGAGCAATGCAGTCACTTTTTCCCATTTCCAGTCTTATATGTACTTGTTTTTGTTTCGTTACCTTGGAGTTCATGTATATTGTTGAAAGGGTAGGTTAGATGACTGTTGTAGTGTTAGTGCTGCCATCTGGTGCCAACTAGAAATAGTGAGTTTACAGAATGCACTTTTCTGTTTTTTATCATTATCTCCTTGGCATGAGGATGAGCCAGCGGGGCAGTTTGAGACGATCCCTGCTGTGCTAGTGCCAAATGTCCGCTTGTTCTCACTTGTTCCCGCTTGTTGGTCGACACAAAGCTAAAAGCACATAAATAAATATTGAGATTTTAGTTCCTTTGGTTCCTTTTGGTTTTCATTCAAAGTATGTTTTTTGTATTTTATTATTGTGCAAAATTGAGCTTATTACATTGCCATATTCAGCAAGTTTCTACCATCCATGAAATTGCATCTCTTGCTGAAAAATGTTGGGCTTTGATTTAGCTACAGCCTGAGATAATTGTGCCCATGGGAATGTAGGGTTTTATGGGGTTATTGGGAATGATTTTTGGAAGTTGCTTGCTGGAATTGGGCAGATTTGGTATATTCCTAGATTTCTTACACAATTCCAGTTTATCCATTTCCAGCTGTCATTATAGTGTAGGTTCCTGCATGTCTGGTCTTTTGCAATGCTGAGACCTACACAATGGACTTACTGGCAATTGTGTATAGCTGAACATTGGTTAAAGAAAGAAATATTTTGTGGAGTAAAACATAATCTAAATATAAAACTGTTTTTATTTTGTTCTTTGACAGTAACAACAACAAACAAGGCAGTGAGTGCCGTCAAAACCAACATCAAGGCAGCAACTGCAATACACCCATACAGTCGATAGCTCCGACAACTGTAGCACTCTTTAAGAAGAAAGATATTTTATTTCGTGTCAGGTTTTTGCAGTAAATTTTTTTTTAAGTGTTTTAAATTGATTTATATTTCTTAGTATTATGAGTCATGCATAAATGTGATCTGAGCTTCCATAACATTGTACTGTACTGTAATAAATAATCAATTTGTGATGTTATTTTCTTACCCAAAGACATGGCTGTAGTAGAAATAAATGTAAGGAAGTATATTTTATTGTAATTTTCAGCACAGACCTTGCTATGCATGAGGGGAAATCTTGTTACGTGCGGCTTTGTAGAAAATAAACTTTGGGTTATACAGTATTGGCAAAAATGGGACTACATCCCATACCTAGAAATTACCACATATTTCATATGCAATTGTTGACGGTTGTGCAATATTAGTCGCTAATGGAGCTATCCATCTATTGGTCTATCCATCTATTGGTCTATCCATCTATTGGTCTATCCATCTATTGGTCTATCCATCTATTGGTCTATCCATCTATTGGTCTATCCACTTATATATCCATCCATATATTTGGTATCTGTCTATGACCTTGTCTCTCACTGTCTCTCTGTCTCTGTCTCATATAATTGTGTAATGTGTGGGAGGTGGGCAGTGAGAGAAGCTCACTTGTGTGAAATACTAAAAAAGAATAATTACCCCTTACTGTGATAAAGGTCTGGGGCTGGAGAGACCTGTTACCCCCTTACTGTGATAAAGGTCTGGGGCTGGAGAGACCTGTTACCCCCTTACTGTGATAAAGGTCTGGGGCTGGAGAGACCTGTTACCCCCTTACTGTGATAAAGGTCTGGGGCTGGAGAGACCTGTTGCCCCCTTACTGTGATAAAGGTCCAGGGCTGGAGAGACCTGTTGCCCCCTTACTGTGATAAAGGTCCAGGGCTGGAGAGACCTGTTGCCCCCTTACTGTGATAAAGGTCTGGGCTGGAGAGACCTGTTGCCCCCTTACTGTGATAAAGGTCCAGGGCTGGAGAGACCTGTTACCCCCTTACTGTGATAAAGGTCTGGGGCTGGAGAGACCTGTTGCCCCCTTACTGTGATAAAGGTCCAGGGCTGGAGAGACCTGTTACCCCCTTACTGTGATAAAGGTCCAGGGCTGGAGAGACCTGTTGCCCCCTTACTGTGATAAAGGTCTGGGGCTGGAGAGACCTGTTGCCCCCTTACTGTGATAAAGGTCCAGGGCTGGAGAGACCTGTTGCCCCCTTACTGTGATAAAGGTCCAGGGCTGGAGAGACCTGTTACCCCCTTACTGTGATAAAGGTCCAGGGCTGGAGAGACCTGTTGCCCCCTTACTGTGATAAAGGTCTGGGGCTGGAGAGACCTGTTGCCCCCTTACTGTGATAAAGGTCCAGGGCTGGAGAGACCTGTTGCCCCCTTACTGTGATAAAGGTCCAGGGCTGGAGAGACCTGTTGCCCCCTTACTGTGATAAAGGTCCAGGGCTGGAGAGACCTGTTGCCCCCTTACTGTGATAAAGGTCTGGGGCTGGAGAGACCTGTTGCCCCCTTACTGTGATAAAGGTCCAGGGCTGGAGAGACCTGTTGCCCCCTTACTGTGATAAAGGTCCAGGGCTGGAGAGACCTGTTACCCCCTTACTGTGATAAAGGTCTGGGGCTGGAGAGACCTGTTGCCCCCTTACTGTGATAAAGGTCCAGGGCTGGAGAGACCTGTTACCCCCTTACTGTGATAAAGGTCCAGGGCTGGAGAGACCTGTTACCCCCTTACTGTGATAAAGGTCCAGGGCTGGAGAGACCTGTTGCCCCCTTACTGTGATAAAGGTCCAGGGCTGGAGAGACCTGTTACCCCCTTACTGTGATAAAGGTCTGGGGCTGGAGAGACCTGTTACCCCCTTACTGTGATAAAGGTCTGGGGCTGGAGAGACCTGTTGCCCCCTTACTGTGATAAAGGTCTGGGGCTGGAGAGACCTGTTACCCCCTTACTGTGATAAAGGTCTGGGGCTGGAGAGACCTGTTACCCCCTTACTGTGATAAAGGTCCAGGGCTGGAGAGACCTGTTACCCCCTTACTGTGATAAAGGTCCAGGGCTGGAGAGACCTGTTGCCCCCTTACTGTGATAAAGGTCCAGGGCTGGAGAGACCTGTTACCCCCTTACTGTGATAAAGGTCTGGGGCTGGAGAGACCTGTTACCCCCTTACTGTGATAAAGGTCCAGGGCTGGAGAGACCTGTTGCCCCCTTACTGTGATAAAGGTCCAGGGCTGGAGAGACCTGTTGCCCCCTTACTGTGATAAAGGTCCAGGGCTGGAGAGACCTGTTACCCCCTTACTGTGATAAAGGTCCAGGGCTGGAGAGACCTGTTGCCCCCTTACTGTGATAAAGGTCCAGGGCTGGAGAGACCTGTTACCCCCTTACTGTGATAAAGGTCTGGGGCTGGAGAGACCTGTTACCCCCTTACTGTGATAAAGGTCCAGGGCTGGAGAGACCTGTTGCCCCCTTACTGTGATAAAGGTCCAGGGCTGGAGAGACCTGTTGCCCCCTTACTGTGATAAAGGTCCAGGGCTGGAGAGACCTGTTGCCCCCTTACTGTGATAAAGGTCCAGGGCTGGAGAGACCTGTTGCCCCCTTACTGTGATAAAGGTCCAGGGCTGGAGAGACCTGTTGCCCCCTTACTGTGATAAAGGTCTGGGGCTGGAGAGACCTGTTGCCCCCTTACTGTGATAAAGGTCCAGGGCTGGAGAGACCTGTTGCCCCCTTACTGTGATAAAGGTCCAGGGCTGGAGAGACCTGTTGCCCCCTTACTGTGATAAAGGTCCAGGGCTGGAGAGACCTGTTGCCCCCTTACTGTGATAAAGGTCCAGGGCTGGAGAGACCTGTTGCCCCCTTACTGTGATAAAGGTCCAGGGCTGGAGAGACCTGTTGCCCCCTTACTGTGATAAAGGTCCAGGGCTGGAGAGACCTGTTGCCCCCTTACTGTGATAAAGGTCCAGGGCTGGAGAGACCTGTTGCCCCCTTACTGTGATAAAGGTCCAGGGCTGGAGAGACCTGTTGCCCCCTTACTGTGATAAAGGTCCAGGGCTGGAGAGACCTGTTGCCCCCTTACTGTGATAAAGGTCCAGGGCTGGAGAGACCTGTTGCCCCCTTACTGTGATAAAGGTCCAGGGCTGGAGAGACCTGTTGCCCCCTTACTGTGATAAAGGTCCAGGGCTGGAGAGACCTGTTGCCCCCTTACTGTGATAAAGGTCCAGGGCTGGAGAGACCTGTTACTGTGATAAAGGTCCAGGGCTGGAGAGACCTGTTACCCCCTTACTGTGATAAAGGTCCAGGGCTGGAGAGACCTGTTACCCCCTTACTGTGATAAAGGTCCAGGGCTGGAGAGACCTGTTACCCCCTTACTGTGATAAAGGTCCAGGGCTGGAGAGACCTGTTACCCCCTTACTGTGATAAAGGTCCAGGGCTGGAGAGACCTGTTACCCCCTTACTGTGATAAAGGTCCAGGGCTGGAGAGACCTGTTACCCCCTTACTGTGATAAAGGTCCAGGGCTGGAGAGACCTGTTACCCCCTTACTGTGATAAAGGTCCAGGGCTGGAGAGACCTGTTGCCCCCTTACTGTGATAAAGGTCTGGGGCTGGAGAGACCTGTTACCCCCTTACTGTGATAAAGGTCCAGGGCTGGAGAGACCTGTTACCCCCTTACTGTGATAAAGGTCTGGGGCTGGAGAGACCTGTTGCCCCCTTACTGTGATAAAGGTCTGGGGCTGGAGAGACCTGTTACCCGCTTACTGTGATAAAGGTCCAGGGCTGGAGAGACCTGTTACCCGCTTACTGTGATAAAGGTCTGGGGCTGGAGAGACCTGTTGCCCCCTTACTGTGATAAAGGTCTGGGGCTGGAGAGACCTGTTACCCGCTTACTGTGATAAAGGTCTGGGGCTTGAGAGACTGTTACCCGCTTACTGTGATAAAGGTCCAGGGCTGGAGAGACCTATTACCCCTGTTGCCCCCTTACTGTGATAAAGGTCTGGGGCTGGAGAGACCTGTTACCCGCTTACCCTTGAGAGACTGTACCCGCTTACTGTGATAAAGGTCCAGGGCTGGAGAGACCTATTACCCCCTTACTGTGATAAAGGTCTGGGGCTGGAGAGACCTGTTGCCCCCTTACTGTGATAAAGGTCTGGGGCTGGAGAGACCTGTTACCCGCTTACTGTGATAAAGGTCCAGGGCTGGAGAGACCTATTACCCACTTACTGTGATAAAGGTCCAGGGCTTGAGTGACTGTTACCCCCTTACTGTGATAAAGGTCTGGGGCTTGAGTGGCTGTTACCCCCCTAATGACAATGGTCTTGGGGGCAGAGTGTGACCCTGGTACGTTGTTCCCTTTTGAATTGTGGCGACGCCGACCAGCCTATGTTCATCCCCCACCCCACACCACTCACAAGTTGGGTCAGCCTCGCCCCAGGCGGATGACCGTCAACATGGAATAGAAAAACAGACATTCTTATAGTATAGATATATACTATTTAATAATTTAAGTATTAATTGGTCTATTATTTCATTAAAATATGTTGAGAATTTGGTATGGCTCGAATAGTAGGGATGCTTTCGTGGGAAGTGTGGTAAGTGTGGAGGCCAAACTTACCAATATTGGCAGGTATAGTGGTGTAAGTGTGGAGGCCAAACTGACCAATATTGGCAGGTATAGTGGTGTAAGTGTGGAGGCCAAACTTACCAATATTGGCAGGTATAGTGGTGTAAGTGTGGAGGCCAAACTTACCAATATTGGCAGGTATAGTGGTGTAAGTGTGGAGGCCAAACTGACCAATATTGGCAGGTATAGTGGTGTAAGTGTGGAGGCCAAACTGACCAACATTGGCAGGTATAGTGGTGTAAGTGTGGAGGCCAAACTTACTAATATTGGCAGGTATAGTGGTGTAAGTGTGGAGGCCAAACTGACCAACATTGGCAGGTATAGTACTGTAAGTGTGGAGGCCAAACTGACCAACATTGGCAGGTATATTGGTGTAAGTGTGGGGTCCAAACTTACCAACACACACCCGTGCGAGTGTGGTCCAACACAGAGAAACTGGAGCATTAGGAACAATTAGCAAGAACAGAAGCTAATTGCCAACAACTTTCTCGATCATTTGTCACAAGTGGGCCACGGTGGCCGGCACACACCTGCCCCACCACACACCTG